TAGACACTCCTTTGGGTTTCCCTTGTTTGATTGTGGATGGTTCATAACTGAACAGAAAAAAATAAAAATTGCCAAGCAGCTTTTGCTACCAGACTTGAATTTACCTTTAAGCTTCTCACAGAAACTCGGGTATGAACTGTGTGGGTCCATTTGTATGTGGGCTTCTTTCAGTAAGTTACACAGTCAGTGCTATACCCCCAGGTTTTGCATTTGTAGGTTTAACTAACCAAGGAACAAAAACAGTACTTTCTGTGTTTGGGGATCTGCAGATGCGGAGGGCTGACTGGATGCACTGTTTTACGCCATTTTATTTAAGGGACTTGGTATCCACTGGGGGGGTCCTGGAACCAATTCCCTCTGCATACCAAGGGATGATTGTAGTTAAGCTTTTGTAGAGTCCAAAGTTATGCTCAAATTTTCAACTGCGCAGGAGGGTTGGTGACCCTAATCCCTATGGTATTCAAGGGTCAACTGTATCGCTAATGCATGCAAATAGTCCATTAGATGAATGTACCAAAACTAATTTATCCACTTTTGAAAATATTTTTGTACTTATGTGCTACTTCCAATTTTTATATTATGAACGATATACAATCTTTTAATATGTATTTTATAATTTGTCTGGTTATCTTTTGAGAATAAGGTGGATTTGGACTGATGGGTGAAATGCAAGCATCTGTGTTTAAGGTTTTTAAAAATCTATAATGCTGAACTCTCAGCCAGTGAGGTTTTATTAGTTTCTAATCCCAAGAACAGAATACCCATGTGTCACCTGCTCACACCCATGCCAGCACTGGGAATTAGCTAGCCGTTTCATCTTTGCTGGATTAGGAGGTGATCCAACAAGTGGGAATGGTGTCACATTTCTGCCTTATTAGAAATTCTAGAATTACTGGTGAAGGTGAACTTTCTTTTCCTAGGATGCTGCTTTATGGACAGGTGGGCCTCTGCGTTGCAGAGGGGCCTGTCTGTGAGAAGATGGGGCCTTATCATTGTTGTCCTCTCCTGCAGCCCCATACCTCACACAACAGTCCACGGGCCAGGGAGAGGGAGGAGCTCCCGTGTTGATGCCATTTGGGGACAGTGCGATGAAAAGTGACTGCAGGAGAAAAGAGGGACTTGCTATCATCTATCATCATACACAGTGAAGAATGGGAAATTGTTCGAGAGAATCAGAAAACTGTTAACTAGAAAATGAGGCAGAGGGTATCCTATCAGAAATGGACAAGGACACAATTCACACAGTAAAGAGACAGAGGGACAAAAACAGGGATGCAGAGCAGAGTGGTAGCTGATGTGGAGGCAGCAGAGCTGAGGAAAAAAGTCTCATTCACCCCAAAGCTCAGAGCAGCGCTATCTGGGACAGTTTAGCTCATACTGCTAACCCTCAGCTTCCTGTTCTATAAAATGGGGATAATAGAATTAATACATCATGGCAATGTTGAGAGGATTAAATAAGAACTGTGTAACCCACTGTCTCACTATAAAGGCTCAGTAAAAACTTTATCCATGGTGAAAGGGGCTCCTATTCTTTGAAAGATCACCTAGATGGTACAAATTTCAACTCGGGGCACTTTCCACATTACAGTGTTTCCTTTAAATGGGATGTGAAGATCAGTTCCAAGATTTTCCCCTCCCCCTTAGTGCCTCATCTTGATACCCTCTGCAGCCCCGTGTGATGCCTAAAAGAATGATGTGTTTCCAAGTAGTCCTTTAGCCCCATGCCTGTACTGTCAACTCATCTCTGACAAAGGAGCCAATAATAGGTTAGTCTCTCTTCAATAAATGGTGCTGAAAAAACTGGATGTTCACATGCAAAAGAATGGAAGAAGACCCTTATCTTGAACCAATCATTATTATTTCTTTCCCGGTACAAAATGACATTTATTCCAGAAAGCAACAAAGGAAAAAAAAAGTGAAATTCCAACATGCATTTTTGTTTTCACTATCCTTTTGTTAAATTGCCAAAATTCATAGCAGATTTGGCAGAACATATGCTCATTTTACCAAAGACAGAGAGGTAGCAAATACACATCTGAGAAAAGGCTCGCCATAAGTCCTTAGGAAAATGCAATCAAACAACAGCGAGATAGCTCGACAAAGTTATAAAAGAAGTTTAAACAATGATTACAAAAAAAAGTCCTGGCTGGTGTGGATCAGCAGATTGAGCACCACCTTGCAAACTGAAAGGTCACCAATTTGATTCCTATTCAGTGCACATGCCTGGGTTGTGGGCCAGGTTCCCAGATTGGGGTGTGTTAGAGGCAACCATCCATGTTTCTCACACATTGATGTTTCTCTCTTTCTCTCTTCCTTCCCCTCTAATCATTAAAAATTAAAGTCTTAAGAAAAAAAAAAAAAGACTGATCAAACCAAATATTCCCTAGGATGCAGAGGAGCTGAATCCCTCATACACTGTTGGAAGAACGCAAAAAGGTACAAGTGGTTTAAGTCACAACTTCCTAATTTTTTTTAAAAAATAAATTTTTAAAATTACATTTTATTGACTATGCTATTATAGTTGTCCTGATTTTTTCCCCTTTGCCCTTCTCTACCCCGCACCCCATACTCCCTCAGGCAATCCCCCCACCATTGTTCATGCCCATGGGTCATGCCTCTAAGTTCCTTGGCTACTCCCTTTCCTATGTTGTACTTTACATTCCCATGGCTATTCTGTAATTACGTTTGTATTTCTTAATCCCCTCACCTCTCACCCATTCTCCCACACCCACCCTTCCATCTCTTTATCTTTAACCTCTGGCATTTAAATTATGATGTGTCTTGGGGTGGGCCTCTTTACATGCATCTTTTTTGGGACTCTGCTTCCTGGACTTAGATGTCTATTTCCTTCACCAAATCAGGGAAGTTTTTAAAAATTATTTTTAAAAACAGATTTCTAATTTCTTGCTCTTGCCCTTCTTCTGCCACCCCAATGAAGCAATGTTGGATTGCTTAAAGTTGTCCTACAGGCTTACATTGATTTTTTTTGGATTCTTTTCTTCTCATTGTTCTGATTGGTTGTTTTTGTTTCCTTATGTTCCAAATCATTGATCTGATTCTCAGCTTCATTTGGTCTACTGTTGTTTCCTCGTTAACTGCTCTTTATTTCAATTAGTGTATCCTTTGTTTCTGACCGGATCTTTTTTATGCTACTGAGGTCCTAAGTTCCTTGAGCATCCTTATAACCAGTGTTTTGAACTCTGCACCTGATAGATTGCTTATCTCCCATTTAGTAGAGCTCTTTTTCTGGAGTTTTGATCTTTCATTTGGGATATGTTTCTTTGTCTCCTCCTTTTGGTAGCCTCCCTGTGTTTCTGTGTATTAGGTAGAGCTGCTTTGATTCCATGTCTTGGCAGTGTGGCCTAATGTAGTAGGTGTCCTTTGGGGCCCAGTGGCAGTCTTCCCTATCATCCAAGCTGGGTACTCTTGGTGCACCCTTCATGTGGGCTGAATACAACCTCCTCTTGTAGTTGAGCCTTGGTTGCTGTTGGCAGATCAATGGGAGGGATTTACCCAGGCAAAGTAGCTGCAAAGATTGGCTATGACCACTGACGACCAACCTCCACCCTCCGTAGAGGACCAGCTATGCAGAGGCATGGTGATGGTGCTCCCATGTGGTCTGTAGCTGTCCACTGGGTGTGATGGCTCCTGGGGTTTCCTGGGTGCTGTAGGCCAAGATCAGCTCCCACCTGTGTTTTGTCCAGGGCCACCTTGGCTGAGTTATAAAGCAATCTGAGATGGCTGCTGCTTGTGCTGGGCTTGGAGATTCCCCAGTGAAGCCAAGCTATGAACCTAGGATGCTAGTTCTGGGCCTGCGGTTCGCTGAGGCCAGCTGTTGTCTGACAGGACATAGGAAGTTGTGAAGCTTGAGCAAAGACCATTCATATGGAAAAGCAGCTTGGGGGAGTCTGTAAATTTGTTTGGGTGGAGTCTCTGGGGATATCCAAGATGAGTCAAACATTGTTAGCCACATTAATACACCAGTGTGCCGACTCTGTGGGGAGGGCCTAAAATACGGGACAATTGCGTCTTATGGCCTGGATGCCAGACACCCCAGCCTCCCCCTGCATGCGATTGATGCCCCTCAAACCACAACCCCGTTCTTGAAGGTCAGGAGAAGTCTGAATAGGTGAGTCCGTGTGTAGATTCTTTAAGAGTAACTCCTTGGGGCTCCAAAAACTTCTTCCACTAACTTAGTCCCCGCGGGATTTCACAGCCAGAAGTTTTGGGGACTTACCTTCCTGGCACTGGACTCCTGGGCCTGGGGGAGGGGGGTCCTGGTGTGAGGCTGGGATTTCTTGCTCCCAAGGTATCCCTCCTGAATTTTTATCTACCACACAATCCTTTGTTTCTGACTGGATCTTTTTTATGCTACTGAGGTCCTCACTAAGTTCCTTGAGCACCCTTTTGAACACTGGTTATAAGGATGTGGGACCAGCCTGTTCCATATCTGTACACCTCCTACCAGTCTGGATGGATGTGGTTTCTTTAATTCTGAAGTTGTCAGACTTCCATTCAACTCGATTTCTGTTGGTTCTGAACAATGACTTTTATGCAATTTAGTTGTAATATTTTTGTGGTGGTATGAAAAGATGAGCCTTGTCTGCCTATGCCACCATCTTGACTGGATCCCAAATTCCTTTTAAGTTAAACATTCACCTACCCTCTGACTCGGATATTGTGTTATGAATTATTGACAAAGGTAAATGAGACATATATCTGTAGAGAATTATACACAAATGTTTGTCCTAGCTTTATTTTCAATAATCAAAATTTAGAAATAACCCAATGTCCATGAAAAATGAATGGATAAAAAAATGTAAAATATTAAAAGCTTAGAATATTTAAAAAAAGGTGAACTACAAATATATCATTAATGAATCTCCCAAGTATTTATGCAACATAAATGAAAGCAGAGAAAGTACTTTCATTCACATCACATAAGTTCTGGGAAATGCAAACTTATCTATTAAAATGAGAAGTAAATCAATGGTTACCTGGAGAGCTGTGAAGGACAGGGAGAGGGATATTAGAAAAGTACATTAAGTAAAAAGACAGTGACAGATATGGTCAGTATTGACTATTATGATGGTTTCAGTTTAATAGATATGTCAAAATTCATCAGATACTATATTTGAAATACGTTGTTTACGAATTAGAAGTTTTGAAAAATGGTTCAACATTATTAGGAAAAAACCTGTATGTCCAACACTTTGGAAAATAGGCTTGGCAACCTCATCCCCTCTGTGGATCAGTCTTGCCTCAGTGACATCAAATATACCAAACAATGAAGGACTTTCACCCAAATGAAAGCAATGCTGGCTGGATTATAAGCCACATCCCTGGACTATAGATACCACTTTTATCTTTGATTTCCTGTCTGGGCACTAACTGTCTTCAGGTGAACACCTGAGAGGGTACATAAGTCAACAAAATCTTTTGATTATTTTCAATGACGATGACTTTGGGCACAGAAGATAAACATGCCTGGAGATACTCAGATTTGTGTACACAATAATCCTGCAGTCTTTTCACAGAAATAATTCTGGATGCATGTTTAGAAGAGGTACATTATGGCTAGCTGGCTGCAGTGTTCTCCAATCCCCATTATGTCAGTGATTCTGTAGCAACCATGGATAACCCCTATGGTCCTACAACCAAGTGATCATCACCCATGGAATTGTAGATATTAGGTCACATGGTCCTTTGCAAGACCTTCAAAAGTGATTCCCCTCAAAAATACCTTGTGAACAAGGGACAAATTCAGACTGCCCTTAGAAGCACTTGAGGTTGTCACACTGGCCCCCTCTTAAAAATGATTTCTGAGTCTCCTAAAACTCAGCATCTGAGCTTCATGTGAGTACCAGAGAGCCCTGCAGTCTTTCCTAGGAGCATGTGGGCAGCAATGTATATTTGGCAAAAACTGGTAGGCTAATATCAGCACCATACCGGCCTCTCGAAGGCAGAGAAAATTTGAGAACCCCACAATAGTTCCTTACCTCTTCATGCTCATAGAGCCCAAGTCTGCTTATAATCTACCCTTCACACTAAATAAAACACCCAAGATTAAAGAGGAAAAAGGCCTTCATTTTACAAACCAAAGGGAAATGGACCTGGCAGTTCTTGCATTGGTAACTTTGACATTGGAAATATTCATCACAGGTATGTAGGAAACCATGCCCCTGAAAAGGCAGTCCTTCTGTAAGCCATCAGCTAAACGCAGATGATATTTTCTGAGGTCAAGACTTGGTCAGGCTCATGCCCCAACTAATCAGAGTGAAGGAAATGCAGATCTCATAAGGCTCAGGCTACTCCTAATTTCCATCAACAAATCAGAGAACAAAGTCAGCTTTCCTGAGCACATTAGGATGGTGACTGATGCAAACTATGGAGACCTGCTAGGTGGCACAGGTGGTACATTCAGCCACAGAAATTTGTAGTGACATAAATCTGGCAGGAGCCGTGTGACCCAACTCGGGCACATATGCTTCCCACATTAATTAAAACTTAAGGCAAATCTCCCTATTGTTGACAGTTCAATGAGATTAAATTCAGAAAAATGGAGCTGCAGTTTCCTCCAGAGTTGTTAACACTGAATAAAAAACTTGTACATTTCCTACACATCTAAGAACTTCTTCCCATGTGAACTCTCATGTGCTTAGAGAGGTTAGAATTTTGGCTAAAAGATTTACCACATTCGCTGCACTCATAAGGCCTTTCTCCAGTGTGAAATCTCTGATGACAACGAAGGTCAGAGTTGCTGATAAAAGATTTCCCGCAGTCATTGCACTCATAAGGCCTTTCCCTAGTGTGAACCCTCTGATGACAACGCAAGTGAATGTTCCTGACAAAAGATTTCCCACATTCAGTGCACTCATAAGGCCTTTCTCCGGTGTGAAATCTCTGATGATAACGGAGGCCACTGCTACAGGTGAAAGATTTCCCACATTCACTGCAGTCATAAGGTTTTTCTCCAGTGTGAAATCTCTGATGATAACGGAGGCCAGAGCTACTGATAAAAGATTTCCCACATTCACTGCACTCATAAGGCCTTTCTCCAGTGTGAAATCTCTGATGACAACGGAGGTCAGAGTTCCTGATAAAAGCTTTTCCACATTCTTTGCACTCATAAGGCCTTTCTCTAGTGTGAATTCTCTGATGACAACGCAAATGATGATTCCTGATAAAAGATTTCCCACATTCACTGCACTCATAAGGCCTTTCTCCAGTGTGAACTCTCTGATGACAATAAAGGCTAGAGATTCTGGTAAAATATTTTCCACATTCACTGCACTTATATGGCTTTTCTCCAGTGTGAACTCTCTGGTGTTGAATGAGGCTAGTACTTTGGCTAAAGGATTTCCCACATTCACCACACTCATAAGGTTTTTCTCCAGAATGAACTCGACGGTGTTGAATAAGGCCACAGCGATCTTTAAAGCATTTCCCACATTCATTGCACTTAAATGGCTTTTCCCCTGTGTGAACTTTCTGATGATAACGAAGGCCAGAGAGTCTTGTAAAACATTTTTCACATTCATGGCACACAAAACACTGTCTTCCAGTAGGGACAGCTTTGTCTGGAACAAGTGTGTGGTTGCAGCCAATGGCTTTCTTACGTTCTTTTCTGGTGTAATAATTTTTTCTCCTTTGAAAACTCACCCCAGACATCAGCATTTCATTTGGCTTGTCCCCGGTGTGAATAGCTTGTTCCTGGATATGTCCTGGGCTGGTAAGGATGTCCTGTCCAACCTCCCGACAGATAAAAAGCTTCTGGGACACACTGAAGTTGCAGCCCCTCACAAGTGAGACCCTGCCCACACCTCTTAGGAAAGGCTTCTCCCTCATGTGCTGCTCCTGGTGCTGGTGACACTTGGCACTGAAATAAAACTGTTTTGCGCATGCGCCACACCTCAATAGTTTCTGGCTGTGCTGTGTTCCTTGCTCCTCAACCAGGTGGAAGATATCTCTCAAGACTGGTGCACAGCGCTCACAGGGGTGGCTCTTTTGGGAAGACAAAGCTATATCAGGATTCTTTGCCTGAGACACTCTCACAGAAACATTCTGTTCAATGGGTACCTCTACATTCTCTGCTCCACAGCAGCAACCTAAAGAGGATATAAGTGCAAAATTCTCCATCATCACTTCGAGGTACAGGCGTCTCTGAGCCTCCTTAAGGAGGCGCCATTCCACCTGGGAGAAGTACACGGCAACATCCTCAAAGGTCACATTAATCTCAGTTGGGGGGCCCAGAGTGGCTGCTGCCATCAGATTCTGTGGGCGGAGTGGGGCAGGAGTGGTGAGCGAGGAGGCAGTCCTGACAGTGATCCCTGTCCCAGCCCTCGCACAGGTCATCTGGGTGATGTTGCCATGTTGCTGAGCCTCAGATCTGCGTCTGTTCGGCCGGGTACCTGGATTCTTGCGTCTTCTCATTGTTCTGGCCTCACCACCATGACCCAGAACTCAGGATGTTCCAAACCAGTTAGGTGATCCTGAGAGAAGAGAAAATGCCCACCAGAGAACACCAGGAGTCAACTGTTGACTTTAAAAAGGACAAACAACTGCACTGCAAAGCTTTCTCTAAGAATCTCAAAGAATTCTTATGAACAAATGTAGCTTTAAAAAAGTTCAGCTCATCCATGTCCTAAAGTACACTTGTTGCCTGGGTCTTGAAGTAATTTGGATGAAATAAACAAACTCATGTGTTCAGCCACAGAAATATAGGATTGAGTATCTACTGATTTCAGATGAAAAGGTGTTTGGAGAAGATGCACCTTCTCCTGGAAGTAATTAAAATAATTTTGAGGGCAACATATTTTTTTGAGGATAAAAATTGTAAAAAAAAAAAAGGAAGAAAAGTGGTAATAATAAAAGAGACATTCGTAACATTAAAAAAGTACTGACTATAAGGAAAAAGACCATCAATAAAAATGAAAATTAAGCACATCTACGGTTAGCTAACAATGAAAAATCTGAGATAATAAGGAGTTAAACAGTGGTCAGAGTTGGCAATGAAGTGAAGTTACACTTGCCCTGAAGGCCTTCCCTACCAGCATGGCAGAAATCAGGAAGGCCTGTGGAGCTACATGCTCCCACTCCCACTTCCTTTAGGTCTTAGAGCCACATCTGTCAGCTGTCACAGTACCAGCATACTTTAACAAGATCTCCCTGAGGCTCGGAGGTAAGAGAAACACATGGAACCATGGCATTACAAATACTGGCTTAAAGTACAGTACTATTTACTGCCTGACAACATGAAATCCTGTCATATCCAGGTGAGATATGGATATGAGGATATTCTTGCTATAGATACTCCCTGTCTCTAGAGAGTCATATATGAAGCAATCACTTAATATATAAGTTATTTTCTCATATACCCTACCACATTTATTGTCAACAGCCCAGAATTTCCTAAACGGGAAGGAAGGGAAAGAACTTTATACCTGCACTAGTTCAGGGACTACCACCTCAACTCTAAGAGGGTGACCAACTCATCCAGTTTGCCTGGGATGGTTCGAGCATTGAAGTCCGCCTCCTGGGAAACCTTTCAGTCTAGGCAACTGGGGACAATTGTCACTCTAGCTCAAGAGTAAAACACAGTCAGGTCCAGGGAGGGAAAGTGGCTGGATAAACTGCAGGAAAAAAAGCAGGGTTCAGGCAATAACTCAGCTCTCCTGGCTCCCAGGGGATGGTAATTTCCATTAAACTAAGCTGTGACATCATAGAAATCTGAGAATGAGAAGAGTCCAGTTAGGCGGAACCTAGTTTCAGGCAGGCAGGGGAAACCTAGGCCTCATCATGCCCAAGGTGTGATTTTCTCAGGAGGGAGTTCACCCATCAGACATGTAGGTGGGAGGGGGCATGAAAAGTAACAAATAGAGGCTACTGGTTACTTACTCCTCTACTCAGGCCTGGACCTATTTCTGAGGCTAGGATATGAACTATGAACTAGAACTCACCTGAGAAGTTTCTCATGAATCTTCCTAGGAAAAAAGAGCAGCTGGAGCTCAGGAAGCTGAGAGGAAGCACAGAGAAAAAGATTAATCTGAATGCTCCCTGTAAATTAAGGCTTACTCTCTGCACAAAATTACAGTACTTAATATGGAAAACAAAACTCTGGAAATTTAATTTGGATTACCAATCCATTACAGTATACCCATTGGTACATCCACTGGGGGCCCCAGAGGAGCAGACATCAGAAACCACTCCTTGCCCTGGCCAGCATGGCTCAGTTGGTTGGGCATCATCCTGCAAACCAAAAGTCAGGGCACATTCCTGGGTTGCAGGCCTGGTCCCTGTTATGGATGTGTGTGAGAGGCCACCAATCGATGTTTCTCTCCCTCTCTTCCTCCCTTCCTTCCTCTCTCTCTAAATAAAATAATATAAAAATAAAAAATAAAGGAACCACTCCCCCTGCCCTTGTGTTTTGACAGGGTGTTCATTTTTAGTGTACTTGGCAATATGGTAGAAAATTCAGGTCTTTGGGGGAGGTATGAAGGCTGAGAAAGTGTGAAGGGGCTTGCAAAATGATGACAATGATGGATGGCACAGGCTCCTGGGGACAAAAATCCCTTATTTTCCCGCACCCCAACTTCACCCCATATCCCTGAGTTCTTACTTGGGTGTAAAAGGAATCTCTGATTGGATAGTATGAACCTGACTCCTCCCTTACCCTCTGCTCTTTTCCCTTTCTGTCCTGGGCTCTGTCTTCCCTAGTTCAAGGGCTTCATGGCATCAGTAACACAGGGCAATAGGGCTTGTTCCACCAGGAACCTAGGAATGTCCTGAAAAGAGCTGAAGGGTCTCGGAATGACCAGAAGAATCACTCCAGCATGAAAGCTCCCAAAATGAACAGGATTCTCTAATTTGTTCAAGAGGAGACAACTTATTGCCTCTGGAGAAAAAACACAGGGGAGAGTGCAACAGGAAGGCATTAAGGAATATTAAGTTTTGTGATCTGACTTACAAAAAAAGCCTGTCGACGTGCTTTTAGGATCCTGGGAAAGCCATCTGCCTCATGTCTCTCTCTGTGTCTCCTAACCCTCCAGATTGCTCAGTGGTGTCCTGAGATGCTTTCATCCTGCCCTGCCTCCTTGCCACCTTACCATGGGGCTCAATGACAGTCAATAACCATAGAAAGTCTCTTCAGTTCCATCTGAATTCATATCACTTGGGGAGAAGTGGCCTCTTTCAGCCAAAGGGAAATTTCAACCTTATTAATTAGGCTTCACCACAGACTAAAATCTGACCCTGAAAATAGTGGGCAAGAGGACTGAGACGCCTGTGAAATGTGCCACGCGTGTGAAATGCCGTGTGCCCCCAGGAAAGCAGTGTCGGAGACCTCAGAGCTCTGTGGAGTGCGCTGCCTCTGGTGAGAAGGGTGTTTTTCACAGCTCTCCTGAAACTCCACCACAGTCTCTAAAGTTAGCTGCACATCTTCTTGGACCCTCTTAGTTTCACTGTGGGGTACTGGTGGGTAACTGACCCAGAACATGCCCCCTAAACTCTGGTCTTAGGGTGTTGAGGTTCATTAGCGTTCACTTATTTCTGAGGTAAGCTTATTGAACATGTAAAAATATGCCAGATTTCTGTCTGGTCAGGAACTACATTTTCTCCCAGAGGGGAAACAAGGCAGTCTCCCTGTCAGATAAGAAAATGGAAAAGATGGGGCGGGTGGCAAGGGAACATACAGGCTGATAAGAAACAGGAGGAAAAGCAATGGTGGGCAAACTGAAGGGGAAGTGAAGGTGTGGGTAATAAGGGTGGAAGGAGAGAAAGGATCTGAGGATTCTAGGGCGAGAGTAGTGCTTTTAAAAAGACAGGAAGAAAGGGAGGAATAGAAGACAGTGGTTGTCCCACCCTCAAATAACTTCTCCCCACACTCACCAAACTGAAAGGCCTTTCCCTTCAGTTGCCCCCCCAATTTCCTCTGGGCCATCTTCTGAGGCTGAGGGCCTTGTTCCAGGCCTTCACCACTTCTCCACAGATGAGGGTCCTACAGGAGAAACCTGAGTTTTTGTCCTCCTTTGTCAGCTTCTCCAGGTTCTGCAACATGAGCTCATACAGACACTTGGTCTCGCCTTTCTGAGGTTGACTTCAGTTGCTGGAGTACAGATGGAATAGAGGAAAGAGCACTATTTAAGAGAAGTCACCCTCTCTATGGTCAGAGAAATAGCTCCCTGAATCAGCTCTGAAACATCCTTCTTCTCTCTGTGCCCGCTGCCATTTTCCTACCCCATCCACATTACTAGAATAGCTTCCTGACTAGTCTCGCCAAGCCCCACTCTCACCCCACCAATGAATTCTCAAGTTAGCCTTCCAAAACTCACATCTAATCATTTCACTTCACTCCTCAAAATCCTTTAATATCTCAGGATGAGGTCCCAACTTCTCAGCAAAGTTTAGTAGGCTCTGATGACTTCCCTTCAGCTGACTCACCCAGCCTCATTGCCATCACCTCCCTTCCATGTTTCCATATCCTTGAACCACCAAACAGGACTAGTACCACGCCCTTCTTTCACCTCTTGTCTGAAATTTCCATAAGCTGTTCTTCCATTTCTCTGAAAGTCTTTCTTTCTTTAGTGAACCCCTATTCACATTTCAAGCCCCATGTTAGATATTACCTCCTCTAGAAAGATTTTACCTGATCCCTGGAGATTAGGAAGGTTGGTCCTTATACATTCTCAGCAATACTCCAAGCTGACCCCTATGATACTACCACACTGTGTTAATTAGATTGTCAACAACTTGAGGGCAGTGTGTCTCATTCACTACTATATGCCCAACACTGAGAACAGAATGGAGTACACAGTAAGGCTCTTAATAAATGCTGTAGAATGAATGAACCACTAACCAACAATTACTTGTGTTTTGCCTCCACCTCACCACTTCTCCTTCACCGTCGTTGATAATGCTGTTTTTCTCCTTCCGCCCACTCCATGGTTATTTCTCTCTCAGCATCATTTTCACCAACCATATTGCTCTTCTCTTCCCTTCTGAGATTATTTCTCATCAAACCCTGTATTCGAACTTTAGTCAACACTGTACCTATGCCATCCAAATTGGAGCGTATCAGGTATGCTCCCTCTTAATCTCCCACCGCCCCTTTTCAATTTAGATTCATCAACACCTATATTCTCTATGGGGGCAGTGAGACCTAGTCGCCAAAGTCTCAGAATTTGTAATTAGATAGACTGGGCTTCCAGTGGTAATGACTTTAGGAAATGTCTTCATCTCAGTCCCTCAGTGGATAATTCTATTTCAGAGTGTTGCCTTTAGGGTGAAAGAGGATAAAATACTTAAAGTCTTACCAACTAACAGCACCAATTCAGTCAACCATAATAATTGTTATTATTTTCCTCCTGACTCAGGGACAGAGTGTCCCTGCTATTCAAGATCACTGCATCCCACAGTGCCCTTCAAATAATTTCAGCTCACACAGAACACTGCTACATCAAATATTCCTGAACTCTTATATTGTATAAGCCTCTTCAAGATGATAGTTTAATGTTTTCAAAACAAACACCTCCACCGTTCACATGCGTTGGGTCCCCCTCAAGCCCAAATCTCAACTAACCACTTCATTCATAAGTCAGCTTTCTGAAGCTATATTCTCCCTACCTATTCCATAGCTCAGTCATCTGGCTTATACCTTAGCCCCAGAAAGAAACTGTTCTTGCAGAGTTCTATGAATTCTTTACACTGCCAAACTAAAATTTAATTCCTCTCATGCTGGAACTATCCACTAAATTCAACAGTTTTATCACTCTGAACTTCTCAAAACGTCCTGTATCCTTTGCTTCAGTGAAACCAAAATCTGAGTTTTCCTATTGTCTCTGAGAAGAGTTCCTCTTCTTCACTCTAAGTTTAAAGTCTGTTAGGCAACTACCTAGAGACCATTTTTATTCTCATTCTACATGTTCTCCTGGTGACTCAAATGTTTTTAAAATGGGATGGGATATAACAAATAATTGGTATATACAAGTTTTTTCTCCTTCCCCTTGTGCTCATTTTATCTGCTCTTGTGGTTTCAGCTTGCACCTGCATATGCTGATGCCATGGAAACCTAAAGTTCCATCTACGTCTTCTTCCATAATCTTCAGTTAAATATCTAAATAATATCAGGATACCTTTTTTTGTTTATGCCTCAAGTTGAGTTTGGCAAAAATAAGCCTTTCTGCTTCTCCTTAATTATCCATTTTAGTTAGCTGCAAGACTTGCTGTACAGTCACACTGTTTAGAAACCTGAGAGTCATCCTGGACCTTCCCTCATCCAGTCAGTCATGAAGTCCTAAGATTACTTCCTAAATGTTTCTGGAACCTGTTTTCTCTTCTCCAACATTAACATCATGGTACACTCTAACCTATACTTCAAATTCCAGGATCGTACCTCCACCTCTGCAATTACTCCCATTTGCAGAGATGTGGTCTAAGGATGCAGAGCTATTGGCTCCTAGTTATAGGGGTAGATGTTTTTAAAGGAGGCTAAGCAAATACTGTATATTGAGAATAAATGTTTTTTCTTCTATGATCCATGTTTCTATAGGTTAATCCTTTCTTTCCTCTTTAGAGTGGTAAGGTATAGAAGTCAAATATTTGGATGAACGCCTTAATAAACAAGATCACAGAGGTCTGTTTAATACAGGTTTCAGGTCTGAGATACAAATGAGTCCTCCCAGCTTACATTTGCTAGCTCAGTTAATGACATTACCTAAGGTCTGGACTAATATTTAGTAGGAAGGACTCTGTGAGTCTTTCTGCTGAACCTGTGGTGGTAACAGGTAGTTACTTGAGGTCTTAGAGATCCTGAATGTGGACCTCTCTTTTCATGTCTTTTTCACCTTAAAGACACAATCAATATTTTCTAACAGGGCCTGGATAATCTTTGTCTGACTTATTTTACTTAGCATAACAATTTCTAGGTCCATTCATATTGTCACATATGGTAAGCTTTCATTTCTTTTTTTTATGTCAGAGTGATAAGCCATTGTATGTATGTACCACATCTTTATCCAACTGTCTATTGGTGGGCACTTAGGTTGCTTCCATATTTTGGCTACTGTAAATAATGCTGCAAGGAACACAGGAGTACATATATCATTTCAAATTAAGTGTTTTGGATTTCTTTGCCTAAACACCCAGAAGCAGCTTTGCTGGATCATAAGGTAGTTCTGTTTTTAATTTTTTGAGGAACTACCATACTGTTTTTCATTGTGGCTGTACAAATTTGCAATCCTACCAACAATGCACGAGGGTTCCTTTTTCTCTAAAAACTTACCTATTCTTGTTTGTTGATTTACTGATAGCTATTCTGAATTCAGACAGAGAAAGACAAATACCATACGATTTTACTTATATATGGAATCTAAGGAACAAAATAAAAACACAAAACAGAAACAGGTTCAGAGAACAAACTGAAGGTTGCCAGAGGGAGTGGCATTGAGGGGTAAGTGAAAAGGTGAAGGGATTAAGTATAAATTAGTAGTTACAAAATAGTCACAGGGATGTAAAGTGCAGCATAGGGAATACAGTAAATAACACTGTAATAACAATGTATGCTGCCAGGTGGGTACTAAACTTACTGGAGGGATCACTTGGTAAATTATATAGTCTAACCACGATGCTGTATACCTGAAACTAACATAATATTGAATATAAACACGGATTGAAAAAAACCTGACAATTCCAATATTTAGATTATCTGTGGTTCTGTATCTGTCATGTTTTTTCTCATTATTTTTAGTTATTTGGTTCTGTTTGTTGGCATGCTTGGTAATATTTGATTGGGTTTGATGGGATAATAGGCATTGTGTATGAAAAATGGCAGAAGCTCTGGGCAATGTTTTCTTCCTCCAAAAGGCAGAGCGCTGGCAGATTTTGATCCACTTAAAGGACAGTTTTAAATTTTGTTAGTGCTGATCTGGTTGGCCTTACCCCTAGAGTGCTGCCCTTGTAGAGTTTTCTTGTAAGCTGGGGGTGTTTACAAGTGCTCCTCCACCTTCTCAGGCCCTGATCTCCAACCTCCAACTCCCTAGCAATACAAGACTGCTCAAGTCTTTGCACAACTTTTTAACTTTGCGGCTGTTGCTTTCAGCCTGGGGCCATGAATTTTGCCCAGGATATGCACAATTTAGGAATTGACAAGCACCTCCAGGAAACTGCACACTGAATTTTGGGCTCATTTCTCTAAGGTTCCCTCTTCCATTTCAAGTCTCAGACTCCATGGCATCTCTGAACTCCAACTTTCTTCTTCCCAGCCAAATTGAAATGCCACAAGCCCTGGTCACCCCTTTCAGCTTGGTCTCTGTTCCTCACTCTAAGACTTAGCCAATGTTCTGAGAGGAAAAAGCACAGGCAAATGTGGTGCTAGCCTAGGTGCTCCCACATTTTCTCCAGCAATTTCCTCCAAGTCCTGCCTGACATGACTTTTCCCTAATACCTTCAGTTACTTTAAGGATTTTATTCAGCTTTTATATTTACTACTGATAGGAGAGTTAGTGTGAGAGAAGCTACTCTGTCATTCGCAGATGTGGAGGTTGGATGTATTTTATGCTCATCACAAATGTCCTAAATCTCCAAGATACTGACTGGTTCAGTTTTCATCCTGTGCCACTTGGATGGCCATGACAGATTTCTAAGTGGCCCCTTACCCCTTACTCATTACCTAGTTAGTAAGTTAGCATGGCGTGGGAGGAGGAAGTCTGGGGGCAGAGGTCTCAAAACAGGACAATTTAAACATCAAAAAGAATTATCTGCAATGGATCTAAACCCACCTAACATATAAAAGCCATGAGTTTATTTTGAGTTTGAGGAAAATTATTTACCTTTGGAAATTCTAAGGGACTAATTCATTATTCTGAAAGCAGGTAATGGGAGAAGATTAAGCATTTCTCTCTTCTATAAACTGTATTTCCAGTGTCAAATCTAAAACTTTCTGAGCTTCACTGTAAGTGGGACACGAGGTACCTTCAGACTGCAGTTAGGCAAATCCCACACACTCATTTGGGTCTTAGCATTCCTCAAGGTCAGATAGGTGACCATGTCGATCACCTTGTTGGCCAGAATGGGACACCGTTCTAATGGAAAAATACAAACAAATAATAATCTATTCCTAGAACCTAGCGCCAAGAAGTAAGTATGTAAGAATAATAAACTCTCTACTAAGTTCTATTAACAGAACCCAGGGTGAAGAGAGGAAGATGTGAGACCGAAGGCATCTTGTTTTCAACTATCCCATACAGAAAGAAAAATAGAACAGACCACCCATTGAGCAAATATAGGTGAAACCAACCACCGGGTGCCAAATAAAGGCAAAGAATCTTTTTTCCCTTAGATCCTATAAGCTAACAGAAACTCCAACATCAGCAGAATCCCAGCAACCCTATAAAACCTCTTTTTCTCTCACCTCTGAGAGACTCTCTGGTTCTGACAGCCAGAGTTTCCGCCCTCTGCAGAGCTGAAATAACTCTTACTTTCATTATCAGCGTCCCTGAAGTAAATTGTTTTATTTCGGGATGCAGAACCAAGTGGTTCCGGTCAGATTCGCTATCAAAGGCATCTCAGTGGCATTTAACCCAGGTGACCACGCTGCTCTAGCGGAGATTCTCTTCCTTTGGTCTTCAGAAGATTTTCCTTCTGTCCTTCTCTTTCTATTTCTCCACACCTTTACCCCCCCGCCCCCCGCCAGTCTCCAGTGCTGGTCTGGGGTGCTGCCTCCCTCAGCCTCGTCCGCCTCACGTGCCGCACTTCAACCCTGCATCTCCTTTTGTGTCCTGCGAAGAGAGGCCAACCGGGGGCGAGGGCCGAGCGTGGAGCGAGGCCTTCCTCGGGCTCTCTCCCGCACCTGGCTCCACGAGGGACGTGGCTAGCCCTAAACTTTCGTGGTGTCCACAGCCACCTCACAAACACAGTGAGAAGCGTACAACCCCGCAGACAGAATGAGAAGCGGACCGGTAGATCCACCGCATACCTCCTTTGCCCTGCCAGAGAGCACCTGCCCAAAGAACACCTGGCCAGCGCGCACCTCCTCCGCCTGGGAGGGGAAAGGTGGCAACCGGAAGCTCCGTCCGAGATCCGTCTTTCTGGGCGGGGCTACCCCGTTCCGCTTTGTTACAGGCTGAACCAGACCCGGCAGTCCAAACTGATTCAGGCGCACAGCCGGAACCTGGTTGACGTTGAAACCCGGAACCGAAGCTCCGTCGTGCGGTCACGTCCTCGTGGGCGGTGCTACCCCGTCCCGGCAGGTTAAAGGCAAAGCCGTACTGCTGGTGGGAGGGGTTTTGAGGTGAAGTTGCTGTTGGCTCCCCTTCTACTCCAGAGGTTCTTTAGTGTGGGTCCCACTCAAGCGGTCACAGAAATAAGGACACAAACTTCAGCCCCATGCCATCCTTTAAGGAAACAACAGACTGTATGCGTATCTTAGAGGGGGAATAGCTTAGGGACTGGGTAAATAAATCGCCACATCTGCCCCATAAAGGAGTTGTAATGAGAGTGCAGAAGGGACATCTTGGTTGCTTGGAGTCCTGATGGCAGAACTGGTGTGTGTGGGGTGTTTTCTGATTGCTATTAGTGTCTGGGCTTAAGAGCTGAGGAAGGAAGGCAGGAAAAGTTAATTTTGGTAGCCTTGGGCCTCCATGGACCTAAGAAGCCAAGGTGGAATCTAGGAGACCAAGGGAACTGAAAGATGTTCTTCAGGTGTATCCGAATACCGCTGCTGCTTATTTTGTTCTTCACCACCATCCTTTGAGGAATAGAGACCACCTTGCCTTCCACCATCTCTGGGACTGCTCCCATTTGAGGTCCAGGAACAACCAGACATGATCTGGTTATACAAATCCTGTGTCAGTGGGCCCAGCAGCCAGAGATGATCAGTTAGAACAATCTGAACATTCAGTGACAGATAGGCACTAGTGGTGAAAGAAGAAAATTAAGATAAAAGAGGGAAAAACCACTTTCTGAGGTTATAACATGATTTCTCTTAAAAATAATTTAGCAGATGAATTGAAGGAAGAGGGTCTTTCTTGAGATCCAAAATAAATTTGAAAAAGATATCAAAACAAGCAGCAGAAGTATAAATATGAATCAAGAATAACAGTGTAAATTACCAGAATTCTAGAAGGAGTAAAAGACATTAATGGATGAGAGAGAATAATTAAATAGACTATTTCTTGAGCTGCAATAAAAGGCTCACTGTGTTTCAGGCTGGACCATGCTTCCTCAAGAGGGGTGACAACACCCTTAAGAAGGCAAAAATGGTTCTTGGGGTAGGGTGGTGGCAAAGAAAAAATACTACTTTTTATATGTAAAGCACAGACCTAATACATAAACAGAAATGCAGGTTGTCTGTGCTATTAAAATTTCATAGAGGCAATTAAGGAAAAATATCTTAAAGTTTCCATAAATGAGTGATACTTAATAAAAGATTGAGAAACACTGGACTAGACTGATGAGATAGGAGAAACACCAAGGTATGTGCTCGTAAAAAATTTGAACTCTAAGGAGAAAGAGAAAAATCTTACAAAAATTCAGCTAAAAAGGACATACTATGTACAAAAGAAGAATCATGCTAGAATTAGTTTTTTTTTTTCCTTTTTAATCTCTAATGCTGGAACTGAGACAGTGGACTGGCCTAAAGGACTACTGAAAAGACTACACTCAGCCTATGGTCAGCAAACATCTAGCTCATCCATCAGGGTGAAAGAAAGATACATAATGCTTTGGAAAGTTCCCCACTGAGAAAAATACTTAAGAGAAGATTTTTCAAGCATTATCACTTATGTGAACCAGAACAAAAATTTGGGGGGAATGTATAGAAAGAAAACAGGCAAACAACTGAGGCTTGGACTATATATGTAAATAATTTATTATGAAGTCTAATGGAAAAATGTGAGACCTGGCAAATGAAATAGAAAGGTGGGTGAGGTAATCAAGACTCACCTGTCTTGTACTGATTGCTAAGCTTATGCAATTATATACCCTTAGACATCAGAATTAAACATTATTAATGACTCTTGAATTTGTAACTATATGAGGTTCATGTAATTCTTTTCATGAAGCATAAAACATGAAAAACAACAAGTCTTTATTAATTGTAAGCATTTATGTTGCCATTGTAATAAAATAGGCCTGTAGCAAGGCTAGCTTAGGTGGTAGATGATTTTTGTATAGGATCCTCTGGAGAGGAGCAAAAGAGAAATGGACAGAAGGTGAAGGCATTGGGATGCAAACAAGCCCATTAGGGATGAATCTGGTGGAGACAGCTCTGCCTCTGGAGCCCTGGTGTAAGTGCTTCCCTCAAGGGCTCTCATGACAGAGGATAAAACCCAACTCCAGGAATGCAACAAGCTGAATATCATCTCTAATTTAATGTCTATTCCTGATGACTTAATCTGAGGCTGGTGAGTGAATTAGACATCTGTAATTTGGGTGGCTACAGGATCAAGGTAAGGGATGGGCTGTTGTTGTGTCTAAGACAGGCTAGAGGTGACAGGACTCTTGGAGGCTATTGATATGTGTGGATGCAGAATGGAAAAGACCAGACACACAAATCTGGTTGTAAACAAGGGAAGTGGAGGGTGAGGTGTGGAAAAGGAGGTGATAGTACATGGGCTCTCCAATGTTACTGAAAGTATGTAACTAAAGAGATATCATCCAAAAAATAACAGGTGCCCCAATAATTTGGGTACAAAAAAAAGAGAAGACTGAAGACATAGCTTGGAAAATATGAGAGGGGCCTTAATCATGACTGAGATCCATGCAGGCTTCCCAATGAAGGGTGTGGGAGGGGCTTTGAGGAGGCAGCCAGACCATCTTGGGAAGATCTGAGAAGAGTATGGGGGAGAAGTCATTTGAAAGGGGATTTCTAGGATGAACATGTGTTAAATCAAAATCTTTCTAACAGGAGACCAAACAGGCAATTACCCAACCTCTTAGCTCTCCTGCTTCAGACATGGGCTGAAATTAATAAAACTTCCTTGCTATGACCTTTCCCTGATAACTATGCAGCATCAGCTTCTATAATCTCATCTCCTCTCAAACTCTTGCCTTGGCTGAACTGTGTGTCCCTGGCCTCTTCCTCTCACGGAGCAGCCATATATTCTATGAGGATAGCTCTCTTCTCAAGGCCAGTGAGTGGTCTCCCTTAACCAGTAACTCTAATGGTAGAACAATTTCTCCTATCACCTATAGAATGGTAATAGGAGCTGCGTTTCCTCCCCAGAAGAAAACAGAGGCACCAAGAGGGGGAACCTGGAGTGGAAGAAATAATAATGTGTATAACAGCTACTGAGATAAATATTTAGAGATAGCCCTTCATCAGAGGGAGTTAACGTTTGTCTCCAGTACTCCAGAACCACCTGTTTACAAATTTGCTTCACTCTCAAACTGTGCACCCCTAGAATCCTGGATGTTTCTCATTTTTCCCCATAGTCCCAATTTTTAATATGGTACTTGAAAAATGGTGATGCTTAAAATATACTTGCTAAATTACTGAGTTAATGAGTGAAAGTACACTACCAAATATATAATTTCCACCTCCAGAAAAGTCTTCCAAATATCATGCTGTTGCATGCCCAGTAATAATGCCTTTCTTTTTTTTCCCATTTCAGTTATTTTTAAACTTAGTTCTCTAAGCTGTGAGTACAAGGAGTGCTTCAGCTCAGGCACACATTCCCTGCCAATGTTGCCTCTTAAAGGTCTTTTGAAAGACTTCACAAGTGAGCAAACTGAATGTGATAATTTCAGAATTTTAAAAATCCAATTTCTATCAATTATTCATTTGTGATGTTTGGGAAATGATTCACATTCACTGATTCCCACTTTCCTTACATGTGCAATGGGGTTAATACCGAGTCCTGAAATGGGTATTCAACATCTGAATTCAGAAATATACAAAGTGCCACCTACAAAGTGTTTACTATATTATCTGGCATAAAGCATATGCATAATATTAGATTAATTCTTCTATGACTGTATCATGTTCAGATTTATTCTGTTCCTGGGACACCACTTGCATTTCAGGATCCTGTATTTTTGGTTAATTACTGTTTCAATAAATCTCTACCAATAATCTTCCTTAAGTAGAGTAATTGTTCTAAACTACTGGCTTCAAGACATCTGATAATGCTCTGTGTGAAAAGGATGAAGTCTTAGTGAGAAGTTG